CGATGTGCGCTACAGCTGTTGTTGTGGGATCCTAGAAAAATTGAAGGTTCACTTCGATTCAGCCACAAGCCTCAACTGGCTTAGGCGCCAAGTGACCGTGAAGGCATATATACTATATATTCTATTAGAAATTTACTGCTACACATTTTTACATATTGTTATATGAGCTGTTATGTGTCTTCGTCCCTGAAGCCGGAAAACATAAACAAAAGGTCACAAGCTGCACAGACTGAGAGCCAGAGGTCCTCCCCTTCAAACCCGAAAACAGCAGTAGCTTTACCCTTATACGAATTCCGAAGTTCAGCCCCTTATTTACCACGTAATTCTTGAGGAGTATAGGGACCTTAGTAGCTAGAATGGAGTCTTGGGGTAAAGTATGATGCACTCATATAGGGCCTATTGGTGGATACCTCTGGTCACTATTCCGAGTCTCGCGCTTGGAATGTGAGGCCTCTACCGGGACCGGAAGATAACACTTCACTTGGACTTTCACCTTCCATCTGGACGTGGGGGCGTGGACTCTGGTTCAAGGATGCCTAGGCCCGAAACATCCTAAAGTAGGTAGCCCCGTAGCCTGCAGGGTTTATCGATTTTAGTATGCTACATTCAATCATCCGTGCCTCGTCCGCCACAAATACCGTGCCAGAGCCATCGAAGGCGAGACCCCGGGCCAGGATAAAGCCGTCGTTGAGGGCCGTGGCGTTGCCGCCACCGTACTTGGATACTCCGTAGACCTGGAGTTTCCGGTGGCGGATGAACGCTGAAATTAAACCTCTCCTCACCTAGTCTAGAATATTACAGGACATTATTATAGTATTACAGTATGTAGTATAGTACAAGCTGTATTCCTACGACTCAGATAAAGGAAACAGGGTCGGTAGACTTTCTTCCGCTCGATCTCTGAGACAAGTTGCCCCTCCACCATCGCTGAAGATGATAGCACTAGTCGTCGCCGCCTCAGAAGCTTTAGTGACTTTAGTGGGAGGCCTCGCACCTGAACTTGGACTTGGGAGAATAAAGTTGTAGGTTCATATTATCTTGGTGGACTTATGATTGTGTTAAGGCACTCAAAGCTGGGAATGACCGCTCAGCTGTACGTGGCTTTTCGGTCCTGACGGCTCCGTGACGCTCTCTGATGCCTCATCATGGACCAAAGCTGACCGAGTGGCAATGCCATACGAGCGCTCTGTTGAGCTGGTGAGCTTACCTTGCTCCACGGCTTTTGGTTCCCCTGGAGGAATTTGGCTTGGGGTGCAAGACTTCTGCAGAGAACCCCTTCGTCGTCCTCAAAAACCGCGAAACTGATGACCCGGTCACACTGCTCGCTCTCGCTCTTCTGCCTATCATACGAGTCCTCCCACATGTGATTCGGCTGCGAACCTCCAACCACCCCGTCACCCGTCTGTGGGGTTTATACTGGCTCACATCGAACCTGCATGGACCTACATGAAAGAACCGTAAACTCTGACTAAATTCTGCGCAAGGATCAGAAACTCTCCGGGACAATCGCTGCCCACGTTTCAATTCAAGTCGGGCCAAAGCCCTTTCCAGCGATCTGAAAACGGAGGAGAGCCCTTCTGAATCCCACTATGACAAAATCATTATGTGCCAGAAGCAGCAACACCAATCAAAATCAAAACCACAACCGTGATGCTATAAACGCAGTAGTTGTAGGCATCATACACGCAATTTTTAATTTCATTCATAATAAAACTGTAATCCCTTTGTTATTGCTATTGCTACGGGTGCAACTACTACTACATATTGTTCGGGGTGTTTTCAAAACAGTGTCGTGATCATCCCCCGAACAAGCGTCCCACCCACCCAATATCGAGTTGTCGCCGAAAGCCCTCCGAAATCCCAAAGTCGAGTTCGTAGAGTCCAGAAGTAGGTTACCAGGTTTGGTGATTATCTAAAGGGTCCGACATCACGAAAGTACTGTAAATACCGAGTAAAACGGCTCTTGTGGAGATATTGTTCGGGATGTCACTGTCTGTGTATCAATGTCGCCATCATTCCCCCCCTCCCCCCCACGCCCAATCCGAAGCCCAATTTTTCCAAACTGGAGGAGTGGGTTTTGAGGCGAGAAGAGGTGGTATAACGCACGAACGTACCGTAAATAGCGAGTAGAGGTGATTGGTGGGGGGGGGCCTACTATCACCACTCCCACTACAGCTACCGCTTCCACTGCCACTGCCACTGCTGCTCCTGCTACTACCGCTGTCCTTACGACTAATCTAATGATGGGAAAACCCAGGAGCTCGACCGCGCTGCGCCGGCCGGGCTCGACTCCGGGTCAGCGAAGCCTGGAAACGACTTCTACCAAAACCGTCGGCTGCGATCTGTGCTTTTGTTTCAAGCCTTGCGATACCCCAAATCCTACGGATCACAACCCAGAAACTGTCGGAGGAAGTCCGTGGATATCAAGCTTTTTTAACGGGAACACAAGTTTGCAAGTCAAGAATCGCAAACTAGAAATATGAGTCACCGGAAAGGAAAAGACTGTCGATGAACCTGTTGTTTGTGGAGCTGGCACGTGGTCTGAAAAACTTATGCGTTGAGGCTCTGACAAAATGCTAGGGGTGCTTGTGCGTAAAGGGGTGAGTTGATATATCACTCCCTGCTCTTCGGTACATGAGACGAACATGTGTCCACGGGAAACAATACGATTATTACGCACCAGCCCCAATCCAAAGCGAACATGATGTAATCAGCCCAAAGTCTGTCGAAATGATCTGCTGAAGCACTCGCGTTTCTCGGACTCGGACTCGCAACATCACATTTCAATGCTTCGTCAAACGCACTACTCGCACGCCAGAGCACAGCAGCAACACACACACACACACAGAGAATCGTCGACCCAAGCCATGCGATGACCTGCAAACAACGAACCCATCGCAGTCACCCATCGTCCTCAGCGTCAGCACTGTTAAGGGGATTGCCATCACTGTCGGCAGCCTTATCCATTTCATCACTCAGTTGCAAGTAAAATAAAAGCACAATGCTTAATGCCGCCACCACCACCACCACCACCACAACCACCACCCCGCACTACTTACTAACTTACTCAACATCATCACCAGTCGCATCGCACACGGCAGCATACTCCCTGCACATTCTCACAAGTTCGTCCTCCAGTCCAGTTCAGCCCCGGCGCCTGTGGCCACGGCACCCTTTTCGAAACCGTTGTTCTCATTGGACCAATACACCTGCCACAAAATCAACAACTGTCTGGACGGAGCAGGTCTGCCGACTACCGCTGCCAAAGTTATATCAAGGTCAGGAGCAGATTGGCATGTTTATCGTGCCATTTCTTCTAGCAATGGATCCAGAACTCCTCGGCTAGGGTCGCCTCCACTCTCGAACTCAGGGCGATTTCAGCTCGGGAACGACTGAGAGGCCATTGAACTGCTCCTTGTTGATCTTGCCCCAATGACGAGACCACATACATGTAAGGATCTGAACTTGAGGTGAGTCTTCTCTGTTAAAAGGACCTTTGGCATTCGTAGCTCAAGTGTAGCATCCTTCTCTTCAGATGTCTCCTGGAGCCTCATATCCTGCTACAACACAGCCTGCACGGTGTCGGACACCACGCCACCAGGAGTGGCCACATGTGGGCTCTCGGAGGCCTGTCGGGTCTTTGTTTATAAGGGAGCCCTTCTACTCCAAACCCTCCAAACCCGGGATTAAGTTCCGAGTTCAAGGGTGGAGCTTGTTCGATTCTTCCAAGCTTTGGCTTGTACAGCTTGTGGTGTGATTTCCAACTCGGGGCTCGTGGAAGCGAGCCCCAAGGCAGAGGCCGGTGAGGGGTTTGAAATCGGGTTCTTTGTTCTGACAAAATATGTTTAATATATTGAACCTTGAGATCTTGAAGCCAGATCAACAAATGGAACCATCTTATGGCAACACCAACATCACCGACAAGTCAAACACCCTCAAATGCTACCAAACGACTAGCGGGAGTAAGTCAAGAAAAACCTGGCAGAGTGAATGAAGCGATCATGCTAGACCCGAAACCCGGAACCATTAAGCTTGAATCCTACGCCTTGATCCCCTTTATGACAACAAGAGGAGCAACCTTCCGAGTCTCGCCGTCTCAACATTTTCGAGCCACGGCTCTGCCCTCTCTTCCAGCACGCGGCAGAAGAATGGAAAATCAGCTCAGGGCTCAGCCGCATCCAGGCAAAATGGGTTCAGGCTTTAGGGTTGAGGCTTGAAAATCCCTTTTTGAACCCAGACTCTGCTGATCGCATGAAATCCCTAAACCCCCAAACCCCTAAAGCCGAAAACCCTAAATCCCTTTTGCAACTAACCCTAAACCCCTGAACCCTGACCCCTATTTTGAAGATGGGACTCCTTGCTATGCCCCGCAAACCTAAAACTGGGGTCGAAAGATTCAGCCATCAGGGATGGTCGGGCGCAGGAGGCTGGTCCGGTTCCCTTAAGTTAAGGGTTCCTCCGAGAATGGGTATAAGGGTCCACGTTCCCAAACAGTATATACTTTGGTTCCTTGGTGCTGGGTCGCCCGATCGCCATGGTTGTAGCATGTTTAGGGTTTCGGGCTTTCGGGGTAAGTGCTGTTGATTGACTTTCATACTGACAAGTTCTTCGCAAACTCACAGGGGGCTGAAGGTTGCAAGGCTACGAAGGGCTTCAAGGACTAGATCTGCGACTGCAGCGAGCGCAGCTCACGATCTGTAGACTCGTGCAGCGCGCACCGAGCACGCTTCAGAGCAGTAGCTTCGCAAAGGCTTAGCCTACGTGTGCCAAGCATAGTCAGTATCTGCTTTACTATATGTCCGTATCACTAGGTAGAAGCTGAAATTACAAGCGGGGTGCTGAAACTTCGGCAGTCCAACAAACAGCCTCAGTCGGCAGAAATGTCAAAGCTGCGCGCACATGCGCAGGTGGCAAAGAAAGTACCGCATGTTGTATGGGTCCAAAGGCGAATTGACAGCAATTTCCTGCTTGGAACTACTCTAAACTCGCAGTGCTCGGTCTCAACCGGACAACCCGAGGACGTTCTTGAACACTGCGGTGCCGATCTCCACGCCCAGCTTTGCCTTGATATTGGCTTTGGGCTCCTGCGTGGAGCCGACTTAGGCTTTACGCTCTCACAACTCGAACATGCCAGGCGAAGTTCAATAGGTGCGAGTCGGCGTGAAACAAGCATCTGCAGTTGCCCAGTAGGGTTTAGGGTTTAGGCATCCGTTCAGATGCCGACCTGAATACACAGGTGAATGCAGATTCCCGGGCTCGAGGCTCTTGGACCAGACGTGACCAGATTACATGCCCCTGTTCTTGAATACTTCTGCTTGGGCTGGCAATGGTCTGTGCGCCAGCAACACCAAGAACTGAATGCAGTCAACGAAAAAGAGTGACTCTCGCCGCCGAAACAACAACAGAAGCAGTGATTGCAGTGGCATTGTCGTCGTCGTCCGTAGACGCGGCATCATCCGAGGAAGCAGCAACAGCAGCAACAACAACACGTTCTTGTTGTTATTGCTGCATTGTAGTGGTGATGAAAGTCAGCAGCAACAGCCGCAGAAGCAGCAGCAGCAGCAGCAGGAGGCATCTCCGTGGTGGTGCTCGTAGTAATATTCATTACTTGTCGTCGCGAGCAGTATTGTGGCACGATGCGCATTCGAGAGAATGACTGCAGCACTGAAGCTCCTCCCACCAGCCACCCTTCTGCATCAGCTCGCAAGCCGCCAAGAGCCGGTCCAGCAAACGGTCGAAGTCTGCCTTGCACAGACAGCATGCCATTGATATCGTGATCGATATAGTATGAGTAGTACTATTGCAACGCTAAATCCTGGCAACCGAGGCAGATTCAGGAGCCTTTCCGTTCGGGCACGCAAACCCCAACACAAAGCCAAAGTCGAAGAGGCCGTACATTCAGCAGTCCTCAAACCCCCTTGGAGTGCACAGCCCTTCAAGCAGCAGGAAGCGGTCTAAAGAATCACGACCTCCACATCACGGAAAGATCCTGCATCACAAGAACAGACACTTACGTGCCAGTCCCATTGACCTCATTCCGTAACCTCAACCCAATAATTACTCATCCTCTTCTGAATCTGGATCTCTCTGATAATCCCAGACGCTGCCGATCCGCTGGGAAGCAGCACTGCGTGATTTCGCTAATTCATCACTTTTGAACGAGGTCTCTCTGAAGTGCCTCGAGCAGTATGATTTCATCAGTCAATCCCTAAACCCCTCAGAGGCCGGCCTTCTTCCACTCAAGGGAGAAGAGTAGACGACCGGTGCCCACCCAGCTCAGGTTCACCCCGGCATCCTTGAGGAAGTACCTGCAGGAATGTAGTTGCAGAACGCGACTTTCGCCTGAAAACCACAGGAGTTGGTACTTAAATCTGCAATAAATATACACTAGATTATAAGTTATAAGACATCAGTAGTGAAACAATCTAATATTGAGGGATGGAGCTGATGGGCTGCTTCCTTGATAGCTTGCTCTCTGGGGCCTCAAATTCAGTCTTTTGAGGCCCTCCTACCCAAAATGGGGCACAGAGAATTGGCTGTTCCTGCAACCCGTGGGTTTAACGAAGAGCATCCAGGATTATTTCTCGGAGTTTCAACCTAACCCCCTGAACCCGATAAGCCCTGAACCCTCACATGTATACCAAAATGGCCATGTGCTGGTAAGCCCCCAGAGCACAAGACAAACCACAAGACCGAAAACCCGCCAGCGCACTGGAAAATCCAGTGGTAGCGGCCCGGCTTCGTGTAAAGGATGGACCAGACCTCAGCGCAGGCTACAGCGTTCACTGAAAGTGTTGCTGCAAAAGTTACGAAAAGGGGTATTGACGATCACACGGTTGAGCAGCATTGTCAAAAACAGCACCCGAATATCACTGGTTTTTGAACCCCCCCTCCCAGCAGCCTCTACACTCTACACAAAACTGACTGATTAAAACCACAGAAAACATCAGAACACACAAATGAGAATCCGCCCAAGTGCGGAGAACCAGTTGGTGAGCTGGACCGGGTACCCCTTCTCCTCGAACTTTTTGTTCGCAGCCTGGCACGACTTCCTATTGCTCGGCTCTTTGACTTGCTTCGAACTTCGGCGCGAGAACTGCATCGCAAAAGTCCAGCGTTTCGATGGCTCTTGCACTTCTGTGGCCTTGATGAAAGCATCGATGTTGGCGTGCATCTCGTCATAGGACCTCAGCTGTTTACTTGCTTCAAGTTCTGCACATGTAGTGATTCCACGAGAAGTGATCAGTGTTGGTGCTGTTGGCCTTCGTGCTGTACTTCCCATGCTCGTCATGGCAAAAGGTTCGAGGTTTGGAAAACAAGGCCTCGCCCAAAAGTTATGTCCCAGCCTCTGCCTCAATGCCCATCACCCACCTTGCCCTGCAATATAGTGTTGTAATGAAGTGTTGGAAAGGTGAGCCCAGAAGCTTCACGGTAGCCGGCTCCTCCAGCCACTTCAGAAAGGCATTCATGCAGGCCATCACGAAGGGGTGGCCTGCGAAAGTTCCGATGACGTAGTTGATCCGTGCTGCCTGGGCAGTCTGAGGCCCTTGCAGCCCTTGTGCTCACAACACAGAAGCTAATGGCAGGCACGAAGGTAGCAAAAGCTGCAGGTAATAGTCGTCGCCGTCGTAGGCACGTACTAGCAGTACTAGGACGAGCAGGAGTAGTAGTGGGAGCAGCAGTAGCAGTAGCAGTAGCAGGCGAAACGCTATGCACCGGAATGCTGGTCATACGAGTATTCAACAAAAGTGCTCTGATGTCACTACCACCATGCTCTGGTCTGCCTGCCACGTCGACTACGAATGGAGTTGCTTTGCTCTCTATACCTGAAATGTGAAGCGAAGCTTTGCAACAAGTTTATGCTTCCAGATCCAGGACGATCTTTCAATTGTGATCCAGTTCAGTGTCAATGGCTCGCAGCTGGACGTACGTCCGCAATGTGCTCGCGTTGTCTTCCCAATCTCCGAAACCTAGAAAAACTTTCCGAATTAGAGCTGAAGCCGCCGTACTTTCTGCGTTGGCAAGTGTCACATTGAGATAGTCAAACGCCAAGCCACATGATCGAATCCGGACTGAGCGTAATTCCAACTCTGGGATGAAACGTCGCCCTCAAACCCAACCACTAAAAGCTGATATGCCCTCAAGCCTGACACTTGCACGTTTTAACACTAATCCCTGAACCGGCCTTTTTCGCGTCTCCACGGGCCATAAGCTCCTTGGGACCGCACACCACGCCAATAGGAAGCCCGCCACCGAGGGTCCTAGGCGCTCCAGGCTTCAAGACTTCTGGTGAACCATATAATAACAGCTGGAGATTAACACCTTGCAGGATTAATTAAGTACTTAGGTAAAAACTGCGATCATTCGAATTAAATTAAGGATCTTGTCGCTGAGAACAGAATCGCCCTCATAGTGAGAATCGTTAAGAATCACATAATCGCAACTGAAACCGTGACAACGCGACCGAAGCAACCGCTGATGATGACGATGATGATAATGGCGATCGTGGTGCCAGTGAATACACCAAGTGGCTCATCATCATCGTCGTCATCATCATCATCACGCCAACACCATTACCAGTCTGTGGCCGCCATCATTCGCACCACCACCACCTCCCTCATCGTCATCATAAGAATCAGTCATATTCGCCACAGTCACTACGGTTTCCTTTTCCTCACTTATGCTGGCTGAATTCATCCTCCCAACCGACTTCAGTTTGGAGAGGCAGGTCTAACTAGAGTTACAATACTCCTACATGTTAAGTTGTAGTGTTGCGCTTGTGCGGCGCTATGAAACCAGCATGTCGGCCACAACAAAGAGCAACGCCTTCAGTTGCAAATTGCCAGTACAGGTGTTGTGTTCCTTGCAGCTGGCACACAGGAAGACTACAGGAAATGATCAAACGCTTCTTCCTGCTAACACCAATGCAATCAAGAGTGCCACGACGACGAAAACGACGTCGAGGACCAGATGGAGACGACGACAATGATAACGGACTTGCGACTACGATTTCGACCACTGCAGCAGCAACAACAACCACAACAACTGCCACAGCAATGGCCAGTCCTGCAGCTCCTGCTGCTGCCACAACTGTAATAATAATAGCGACAACAACTGCAGCCAAGGAAATTTATTGGTTTTGAAAGCATTGCTTCAGAATTCGCAGAGGCTGAATCTTCCTGCGCATTGCGATATTTCACGTCATTGGCGGTGCGCTTTTAACTGGAGAACTTGAGATCCCCCCTCCTGACATCTGGATCTCATGGGCTGCAACACAGACAAATTCCCCTTAGAAGACCTCCAACTTAAGAATCTGAGCCGCAGATTGGTAGCTCAAGCGTCTAGGGCTGCACACAGATTTTTAGCTGAGCTTGAGTTCAACACACAGGCAAACCTCCAAATTAAGAATCGGAGCCGTCAGACTCTTAGCTTCTAGGGCTGGGCAGAGTGCTGTTGGTGTAGTGGTCAATCGACCTCGGCCTGGTTCACATCCTGGCCAAAACATGTGCTAAGAATCTGAGCCTCTCTGAAGCCTGCATGGCAACGGAACTGCGGAGCCTGTCGAAACACCTGTAATATGTAAGCCTAAGAAGCTGCACACCCCCTGACCCAACCTCGAGCAGATTCTGAAGCAGGGCTTGCTCTGTATACACTTCTGCCGCTGCTGGTGTTGCTGCTGCTGCTGCTGGCGTGAGCAATGTAACCAGCCCGTGCAGACAAGTGACTTCCCGTAGCAAACGATGTCAGCCTGCCGCTTGGCACTGCGACTTGGGGATCGTTAGGCTCCAGGATTGCTTTTTTGGCTCCCCGCATGGCAGTAGCCATGCTTTTCTGGCTCTCGTTCATAGGAATATATTCCATAAATATCAGAATCAGAATCAGAAACTCAAGCCCATCTACCATGGTACACAGACGGGGTGGATTTCAAGCACCAAAGCTTGGCCAAGTCAAAACCTTTCTCAAAATCAAGCCCCGCCACGAGCTTGGACTATGCCTACTGATATCGTAGCTGCTGCTTTCCTTCCCGCGTTGTTCTCGATGCTCTGCTCTGCTGGCATCTGCCCCAGTGTTGCACAATAGCCTGGGCTAAGACATGGAATCTAAGGCTCAACCTCGACATACGGAGAACAACAGCAACCAACGTCATCACGGCCACGGCCGTGCAAAGCAAGGAGCAAGCATGCCCTGGCCAATGACAGCTACCTATTGACTCTTGTGTTGCTCACACCATGGAACCAACCGCACGAGCAATGAACTATGCTATATACCAAGAATGTCTTTAGGCTCAAACGAAAGCTCAAAGCCCACTAATGCTGAAGATTTGGTTTTGTAATACAGCTCGAACCCTTATGAACACGCATTTGATAAACCTTGTATGCACACATACATACATACATACATACATACATACATACATGCATGCATGCATACATACCCACTCACCGGCCGACACACGAACATTCTTACAAAATGTTCTCATACATTGTAGTATCTATAGGGATATAGTACAATAATGCATCATAGAACACATGGGAAATCGTCATACAATAAGCAAAATAGAATAGCACAGAACTGAATTCTGGCCTCTCTTCCCTTCTTCGCTAGCGTCATTTACCAGTGAACCGAGCTAGAACTCGAACAAGCTGCAAGTGTTTCTTTGGACACTAGGACTCTGCTCAGATGGATGCGTCATGCATGTGCACGAAAATGGGATGAAACAAGCACGCCAGTCAACCTATAAACTGATACAAGATGACCAGGGATAGCAGCTCTAGTCATCAACATACTCTAGAACTCTACCACAAACCCCCAAACCCTAAACCCTTGCGAGGTAGCGATTTGTGCTTTTTCCGTCCTTCACGTCATAGGCACCCTGTGCTCCTCGAGGATGAAGGCGAAAGCCCGTGTAAACCTCACGAGGATTCGGTTCAGGGCCACTTCTTATTGTTTGTTGGTATGATTGTTGAATTGTTCCTTTCTTTTTTGTTATACTGGTAAACCCCAAACCGTATTCTAGTAAGGCCCCTATAGTACGGCTTACTAGGGTGTAAGCCTGAAGGTTTTAGGCTTTGCAGGATACGAAAGGAAGTCTCGTGGACGTGCTGGTTCTAGCGATAACCGGCCAAACATAACCTCAAAAGAAGAGCCATGGGCACCAAGAAGCACGTCAGGCTGCCCGATGACGAGTTTACTTGCTTGAGGCTTCTCGGAAACGGCTGCTCCAAACCGATACCATGAAATCATCTACCGCAGGGGCCTCAACAATTCGAACAGGGTATCGTGGTAGACTATGCTGTAAGAAGAATAGGAACCATGCAGGGATACTACGACCAATTGTTCCGGCCCCTATACCTCTTAGCCTCATTCAAATCTCATTCAATGTGAACCCGGAGGGCATTCCTGAAGGACGTTCGCCGACAGCACAAAGAGAGCAAGCAACTCTGTGTAAACCCGGCCGTACACAGCCGACAGGGCCTCGTCGAAGATCAGGCAAACGCCTGCTTTGGTGCAGGTCTCCTTCAACTTGTGGAGCCACTCTTTGTATCCTGCACGGGCTCTGTCTTCTCAGGCATGCTAATTGGACGGGGCTTTTCTGGTTTATGCCTGAGCCGCATACCGACAAAGATGACACAGTTTCTTGGGAAACGGAGGCATGAAATCCCTGGCTATGGCAAAACGACTTCAACAAGACAGACCCCTGCAAAACATCATCATGCATCAACTCGGAGTCTGAGCCTCAGCCTCGAGACTCTAACTTCTTGACCGGACACCCATTGCGGCAAGTCCACAAAGGCATATATGTTTGCATGCTACCACACAGAAACGCATTTCTGGCCCAGCCAACACTATGCACTCAAGCATAATCACGTCCCGGAAGGCCTGGCGTAGGACCCACTTTGCGATTGTTGGTGGACAAGACCTCTGCACAAAGCATCAGACGCTTATGCTGCTGCTAGCACAAGGTGCAGATATGTATGTGTATGTGTGTATGTGTGTGTATATATATATGTGTGTTTTCACTCGCTCTCGACGAGGTCAGGCGAGGTGTGGGGCGGCATTAGAGACATTCCAGGCTCTTTTCGAGCCTCAACTTCAAACTCCAGCTCATCTCGAGCCTAGGCCATGCTTGACATGTCCTTCCCTGGACACTAAGCCACCAAGCAGTCCACGACCACTTCCCCCACCCATTCATCCCCTAGATCGCATGTCACGGCACACAAAGGCATTCCAAAGGCAGCATCTCAGGTCTTCACCATTAACCAAGGAGGCAGGAACCTTCGGCACACACGCAGTGCAATGGGCTGACTAGGCAAAAGGTCCATGCCTCAAGCCAAGAAAACTGACCAAGCCAAGCTGTTGCACTGTATGCATGTAGCCCAGCTGAAAAGCAGCTGAAACTCCATCCATGGAACTAAAGGCGTGCAGCTTCACAGGCTCTCAGAGCCATAAGCATCAGGGCGGAGTACTAGACACTCTCAGGGATCGCAGCCATGTCCACGAGCCAGAGTGCAGTTTGCTTGTCCAGTCAACTCAACCTCATGGTCACAACCTCGTGTAGGGTTGAGTCGTCGCCCACAGCGGGGGCTTACGTCCAGGTGAGCCCTTCACATGCATTCAGATCTTTTTGCCACAGCAGACGATGCAACAGGGTGCTTAGTGAATGTGTGTGTATATATATATGCAACTATACATATAATTATACATGCGTACATACATACGCACATACATTCATACATACATACAGACAGACAGACATCTCAGGCAATCGCTAGTGTCACGAATGACATCGAAAATCGCAAAACAACGCGACTAAGCAGTGGTACGAAAATCTTAGTTGCACTAGCAAGGACGGTATCAGTATCACCGCGAAGCACGAACAAGCCATATGCAAGCCAAGAGGCAGCATCGCCAGGTGGAGACTGGTTGAGATGGAAGCATTGAAGGGGATTCACCAGGACCGCGGCGATCTCGCTGCTACGAAGTTGAATCACCTGCCACACGCTCACACGTTGGATCGCTGGGGTGAGCGAGTCAAAGTTGAGGCACGGCTTCAAGTGGTCCTTGTATACAATTAGTAACCATTGCCACCGTTTCCTTTCAAACCCTCACAAGGCCCTGTATGGCCGTATGATGCAAAAGTCCAAGCCTGCAAGGACAGGTTGTTCATATCCTTCAAGCAAAGCACGTCCTGTGGCAACCGCTCCTGAGTCTTGTGCTTGGTGCTTGTAGAAAAACGCTGTCTGGTTGGTGGGGAGTCTAGCATGCAGGGAAGATGGCCCAGACCCTGCATGCTATTGCACGGTCCACTGGAGTGTCGCTTTACAAGGGACGCGCTTGGTGGTGAGAGTGCCTGAGAAATACCGACATTTCGTCGTCGTGTTCCGGTTGTGGTACGGCGCTGGCGGTGGTCTTGCTGCTGCTACGTGTTCTCTGTATTTCTCTGTGGGTATGGTGCTGTTGCGTCGGACGCCGTCGTAGTTATAGTTGTGATACTGGCAGAAATATGGCAATAAAAACAGAAGCAGTAGTGCAGTAGTGGCATTTGCAGTGGTCGTAGGAGTAGGCGTAGGACGAGGAGGACGAGGAGTACAAATCGGAATAAGAGCAGTAGCAGCAGGGAGCAGTACCAGGAAGATGTAGAGGAAGAGGAGGAGGAGGAGGAGGAGCAGTCGTCGCTGTCGGCATTGTCGTCGTTGCCATGTTTATGATACTAGTTGGATATGACGATGAATGAAACGATGCTGGTGATGCTGCTGCAGCTGCTGCTGGTGGTGCTGTTGCTGGCAGTTGTGTACTCGTATTCCACCCCTCTCTCACGGGTGCTTCCATTTCAAGACAACTAGCTTAGCCGCTACCGTTACAGCGGCGAGTGACACCAACCGAAAGTCTGTGACCAGGGCCTTATGTCGTTCGTGCTTGACCGTACATCAAGTCTGACTTTCACAAGATCCAGTGCCCTGACAAAAATGTGAAGCGTGCAACGTGACTGGAGCACTAGACCTCCAAAGTCCAGGTCCCCCGGTGATCGACAAGTACGACCATAAAGACCCGTTCAGAACCAGACCCCAAACCAAAGTTAGCCTGAGCCCGAAACCCCCATAGGCAAGCTCAGGCTCATTGCCGGCCACAGGTTGCATTCCGTCCCACCACCCATGGTAAGCACCACCGAAGGTTACGACCAGTGGCTTCCTGATCTGATGAAGTGATGAAGGAGGTAGGACGCAGGCTCTGTGAGTTTTCGGCTGAGACGTACTGAAGCCAACAATGATATGGCTGAGTTAGAGGCCTGTGGGATCTTGCGGAAGCGACTTGCAGATCAAGTGCGGTCAGGATTCTTGGTGTTGAAGCGTGCCACACGCACGGCGCACATCACTGCCTGCTCAATTAAGTCCAAGGAACCGCAAACAGCACTGAATCTTGAATGCAATGGCTAAACGAGGCCTTCGGCCCCTCCGTTGACCAGCTTTCGACATAAACATTGATAAATTCTCAGCGAAATTGAGCGCTAAGTCTACCGACCCTACACCGCCTGGCAACCTGGCTGTGTGCTCGAAACCTGACTACAGGAATGTGCTGAAGCCGAATGTGTAAGAAAGCGGCTTCATACCGAATACTGCGTATGAGAAACCCTTGTATGCAGCATAGCTGCCTGTCAGTCTACTTGTCTGCCTGTCTGCCTGCCTGCCTCTGTGTGTCTATGTCCTTGTCTTTATCCTTTCTTGTCTGTCTGTCTGCTGTCTGTCTGTGTCTCAGTCGGCCTGTCTCTCTTTCTGCCTGCCATCCTATCTAGCTGTGTAAGTATGCGTGTATTAGCATGTATGCATGCATGCATGGATGGAGTACGGACGCATGTTCGCATGCATGTCTGGCTGGATGGACGGGTGGACGGGTGGATGGGTGGGTGAGTGGGTGGGTGGGTGATGGATGGATGGATGGATGGATGGATGGATGGATGGATGGATGGATGGATGGATGGATGGATGGATGGATGGATGGCGGCTGGCGCTTCCATACATTACATTACATTACATTACATTACATTACATTAACAGTACAGTACATCACATTACTGACATTTAGTTACATTAAGTACATACCTACCTACCTACCTACCTACCTACCTACCTACCTACCTACGTACCTGCATACATACAGACAGACAGACAGACAGACAGACAGACAGACAGACAGACAGGCAGGCAGGCAGACAGACAGACAGACAGACAGACATACATATTATGCTTACATGCACACACAAAGAAAATTCTGATTGACTGGTTATATGAACCATATGCTAACTGTTCAGTTGGCAATTCCAGTAACTAACTTAATCATTGGTTAATCAACAAGCTCGCAAGCTGACGAACTGACTAACTCACTACGTGTATCCAGTTGGCTAACCAACCAATTATTGAACAACTTAACTGATGACTTGGTTCTTTTTCATGCAAGGCTCCGTAGCTATGCCTGTCCCTCCAATCCCGAGCTCAACTCATTAATGAAACAGCTCGTTGAAAAAGTATCGCCCTCACTGCGTATCCCACTACTCTATTAAGTCACTAACTCGTTTGTGCAGTACTATCAGTTGGTTGACTAAGTAAGCAAGACAGCAGTAAGTGTGCATGTCCATCTGTCCGTGGTAGCCGGCCTCTGTGCCAGACATGTGGAAGGACACCTCATCCTGGCCAGAAACCTTACGCAAACGTGCGATGTTGTCCAGAACGATATTGTCCAGCGAGCCCAGGAAAAGGCCTTTGCAACTACAATCCAGGCGATACGAAATGGACACACGGTGGGAAGAACTAGATGCAGTGTGGCGAGAGTGCATGTTTCCAAGCCTGACCATCTTGAGCTGCACAAGGTTTTATGGCTTCGACACTCACACTCGCACGAGGCAGGCAAGGCTTCAAGGCGAATAGGCTCTCAGGCTACTACGATGACATGAGGGACACAACAATGTCCAACCACCATAAGGTCCATACCTGTGTGCCTGAATGCAGGGCTTAGGGCTTCGGCGTTCACACTCGCAAGCGGCAGGGCTTAGAGCTTAGGGCAGTGTCGCATACGCAGCTAAGCAGCAACAGCAAGAAAAAGAGGACAACACTGCTAATCGATATACCCTTTTTACCCCTGTGGACCTATAGAACCCGTCCGGAACCCTAAGCAACAGGACTCAGCTCGGCGGGTGGCCCTGCTTCTTGGCGCTGGACCATCCTTCCTCGATGAAGTCCTTGTATTTCTCATAGCCGCAGACATTGACACCATAGGATCCGGAGATGTCCATGGCACTGTTTTGATCCTGGGCCATTAGGGTTTAGGGGCCGTTAGGGTTTCAGGGTTTGTAGGAACCATGACGGAGATTGCATGCTGAATGGCTTCTCTCGATTTACGTAGCGAATCAAAAGAAACAAACAAAGTAACGTAGGCGCCTTAAGCTTAGCATAGGGCTTGGGGTTATGTTCTAGTTCAACTTTGGCAATCAGGAGCCCTAAGGAAGACTGTTGGCAATTACTCGGGCTTCTGTGCTACACCCTGTTTTGGCACTTTGACTGTTACTGTACGGCCCCGCCAGTCCTGGCAAGGCTACATTGTAGTTTTGGCCTCAGGGTTGAGGGGTTGCGTGGTCTACAGGATGTAGGGTTTCGGCATCGGAAACTCATGATTTTTGATCTTCAAAGTGCAAAGCCCAGAAGTCAACAAGATAAGCCAAAGCATATGGAGCTAGGAGAGGGCGGCTGAAGACCATGACCAGGTTCGAGGTCGACCACATCGACGCCCTCGGTGCGATCCAGGGCCATCGAAGGATCCAGGTATTTCTGGACCACGCCGTTGAAGGCCGGGAAGCACCTATAGGGGGATCGAAGCACGGGAGATTTGAAAAGAGGTCTTTATCAAAAACTCTTCCATGGCCTTGCCCCTACAAAGAATTGTACACCCCAGGAGTGAGTAAGTTTTTCTTCGCTTCGCCGCCTAGCAGAAGTGAAGCGAAGGTCTGAGATCATCTTCTTCAACTCCACGGAGAACTCTTGGCACTTGGGGTACTTCTTCTTCCATTTCTCACTGAGCTCCTTGATGGAGTTCTTCCTTCGCTCTGCCACCTCGGGCGAGGCACCATCACAGGTGAAGAACTCCGCCTCCTCGATGGTGTACTTGGGCAAAATCTGGGAGGCGAACTTGAAGGTCAGGGACAAGGGATAGGTGGCCACCAGGGTCAGGAGTCGCTTGTACAAGTAAGGCACAGCGCGCAGCCCGGCCAACGCAGCCAGGATTGCAATGATGTCATCTTGTTCGAAGCCGAAAGTTGACAGGAAGGCCCATAGCAAACCCCCAGTCATGAGCCAGCAGTAGGCGAGCTGACCGATCTGCCCGAACCTCGGCTTGAAAGGAAGGTGGACCTGGGACTGCCCTGCATCACATGCGGCCAAAGGGGCGTCATGATGAAGAACAGGACAGCCATGAACTTCATAAAGAAGCCTCAGCTGAAAGCAGCTGCCCTCCGAAGCACTGCAGAGCCAAACACATCTTCGAGACTGAACCAACACGGCGTGCCGCGATCTCCCTGGCCCTCACTGTCTCCATATGCCGTGCTAAAACGGACATACTGTAAACCAGCAGCCAGAACGGGACGTTGCATCATGCTAAGGTTAGCAAGGTTACCAACCATCCTGATCCAAGAAGTGAGCTTGAAATCCCGGACTGGTTTACACAAACCCTCATAGTACGCCTTGCAGCAGGCCTTCCAGTACCCCTTACTAACACCCTTCTAGGAACCTTTGTCACCTTGTCGTAGCCCTACTGCATCTTGCTGCCAGGGAGCCCTGGCTGGCCTCCATGCCGAGCAAACCCATGGCTCTGAGCCACTCTCCTACGACCCGAGGACCTCCTTTTCTCCGCTAAGTCACTCGAGCCGCACGAGAAGCAGGACATCATATATATATATGTATGTATGT